TAGTCCAAGAGCCGGCAATACTAACTGGTATGTGATCGTTGCAATGGGTAATTTCTAAATAAAACAATAATTCATAGTAACCTTTAAACCAAATGGATGGGTTGCCTTGATTCTCATGGCCGCAAAGTTGTTTTCTAAAAAGATACTTTTATAAATAGAACAAAACCATGAGCGCAACAAATAAGAAGTACCTTGCGGTGTAGGGGGTACTTATCATATGCGGCAAACACTTCATTAACACAATTTCATGTTTCTTTTTGGTCTAAAGACCTACAGGCGTATGCAAAATCCTCTTCACAGAATCCTCTTTTAATTTTAAAAGTTACTTTGAAAGCTGTCACTTTCAAAAATTTGTATTCAGCAAGCAAAATACCGCGCGCGCTCGACTTTCAATGAGGGTTGCCATCATTTCCGGTCATCAAAATCGAGGCAACCCTATATATTATTTGAGAAGACATTTTATAGAATATATCTACCAATATTCAGCTATTGCAACGATAACATTGTTCGTTCGAAACAAGAGGGGTAGCTTACGCTCAACCACCAAAGGGTTGCGGCCATGAGAATCAAGGCAACCCATCCATTTAGTTTAAAGGTAACTATGAGCTATCCTTTCATGTGAACATTATCCATTGCAACGATCACATACCCGTTAATATTGCCGGCTCTCCTACTATAAGGGCGGGTATTATGACAGAATAACTAAAAGTTAACTTCTGGAATGACGTTACTTCTCATAGTGATTTCAGAAGTTAAGTTTCAGTTATCTGTCCAACTAGTTTTATAATACATGTCCTGAGAGTGTTGTGGCATAGAGTACTTGAGCCGGCAACGCCGCTAAAGAGTCGGGATAGCAGCCCTCGGCGTAGGGCCCAGCAGTTAATATCAGGTAAGCGTACCACAGGCTGCCACACGGTGACAATAGTACATTTTCATTGGATTAGTGACCTATCGACTCTAGCCACTTAAGTGAAGTACTCCTGGCAGATCGTCGGAGTTGAATTCGCTGTAAAAATAGCCAAGAATATAATTCTTAAAAGCAAAGATCCAAACTTAGGACTGTTAAGTTATAGAACAGCAAAACTAGAGAGTGGATTTTCACCTGCAGAACTGAACATGGGAAGAAAACCTAGGAATTCAATTCCAGCTAACAAAGACAGATTTATCCCTAAGTGGAACTATATAAACGACTTCAAGGAAGTCAGAAGCAACGAAAAAGAAGTTGAAACATTGAATTTTAATAAGCGACATAGAGCAAGATCAAATTCTACCTTGGAAAATAACGATAAAGTTTGGATACCCGATATGAAAATGTTCGGGAAAGTAATGGATGTTGGACCTAAACCTAGAACATAGGTACATTATCGCCGCAGTAAATAACGTCATCAGGCGAAACAGAAGCCAAGTTATAGAAGTAACCTCAGAAGCGCAAAGCCGCACCACAAAGCAGTGCGCCAGAAATTGAAGGCATCAGAGATACACCACCAGATCAAGAAGACTAGTCAAGCCGGGACGTCGTTGCACCTGCAACGGAATGTGTGGTGAAGATTAGTTAAAACAAAAGTGAGAATGAACATTGTACAGTGCATATAGTGAAGAGGTGTGTAGTTTTATCCGTAACATTAATATACGCAGTGTAAATAGGAAAAACAATGGTTTAAGGCTACTCGCTTTGAATTCGACTCGAGTGCTAAGTTGAAAAGACATTCAGTTGATGAAAAGGGGGGATGTGGCATAGAGTACTTGAGCCGGCAACGCCGCTCGAGAGTCGAGATAGCAGACCTCGGCGTAGAGCCCAGCAGTTGATATCAGGTAAGAGTATCACAGGCTGCTACAGGTGTAAACCATCAGGTTGGAGGAGGTCGCATCAAAAGACACCCATCTGAAATGAAGATTGGCAGGAGACTTTGTCAAACTGTATGTTCTAAATAAAACAATAATTCATAGTAACCTTTAAACCAAATGGATGGGTTGCCTTGATTCTCATGGCCGCAAAGTTGTTTTCTAAAAAGATACTTTTATAAATAGAACAAAACCATGAGCGCAACAAATAAGAAGTACCTTGCGGTGTAGGGGGTACTTATCATATGCGGCAAACACTTCATTAACACAATTTCATGTTTCTTTTTGGTCTAAAGACCTACAGGCGTATGCAAAATCCTCTTCACAGAATCCTCTTTTAATTTTAAAAGTTACTTTGAAAGCTGTCACTTTCAAAAATTTGTATTCAGCAAGCAAAATACCGCGCGCGCTCGACTTTCAATGAGGGTTGCCATCATTTCCGGTCATCAAAATCGAGGCAACCCTATATATTATTTGAGAAGACATTTTATAGAATATATCTACCAATATTCAGCTATTGCAACGATAACATTGTTCGTTCGAAACAAGAGGGGTAGCTTACGCTCAACCACCAAAGGGTTGCGGCCATGAGAATCAAGGCAACCCATCCATTTAGTTTAAAGGTAACTATGAGCTATCCTTTCATGTGAACATTATCCATTGCAACGATCACATACCCGTTAATATTGCCGGCTCTCCTACTATAAGGGCGGGTATTATGACAGAATAACTAAAAGTTAACTTCTGGAATGACGTTACTTCTTATAGTGATTTCAGAAGTTAAGTTTCAGTTATCTGTCCAACTAGTTTTATAATACATGTCCTGAGAGTGTTGTGGCATAGAGTACTTGAGCCGGCAACGCCGCTAAAGAGTCGGGATAGCAGCCCTCGGCGTAGGGCCCAGCAGTTAATATCAGGTAAGCGTACCACAGGCTGCCACACGGTGACAATAGTACATTTTCATTGGATTAGTGACCTATCGACTCTAGCCACTTAAGTGAAGTACTCCTGGCAGATCGTCGGAGTTGAATTCGCTGTAAAAATAGCCAAGAATATAATTCTTAAAAGCAAAGATCCAAACTTATAGTCCAGGAGGTGGAGCCAAAAACATGCAAGAGTTTTCGCAAGGCGGATATTTTCAAAATAGGTCGTACTTTAGTGCTAGAATGCTAGTGTACAGTCAGCACTCACAGTTCCGGGACAGCTAGCTCTGGGACGCGGGCAAAGTTGTAATTTTAAGAAGCATCTAAACTGTTTTCTCAAAGCTCAAAATTTATAGAAATTTTGCACAGTATCTGTTTGAAGGTCACAGATAACGTATGTAAATCGTCAGACGTCTAGTTCGTTGCAAAAAGGGGGTCAGACGTCCTCAAAGTTTTTATTTTATGGCATTTTCTTCAAATATATTTGTCAAATACCTGCAAAAATATATTTTGACAGGACACCGAAGAAAATGCCATAAAATAAAAACTTTGAGGACGTCTGACCCCCTTTTTGCAACGAACTAGACGTCTGACGATTTACATACGTTATCTGTGACCTTTAAACAGATAATGTGCAAAATTTCTATACATTTTGAGCTTTGAGAAAACAGTTTAGATGCTTCTTAAAATTACAACTTTGCCCGCGTCCCAGAGCCAGCTGTCCCGGAACTGTGAGTGCTGACTGTACACTAGCATTCTAGCACTAAAGTACGACCTATTTTGAAAATATCCGCCTTGCGAAAACTCTTGCATGTTTTTGACGCCAGCTCCCCCACTATTAGGACTGTTAAGTTATAGAACAGCAAAACTAGAGAGTGGATTTTCACCTGCAGAACTGAACATGGGAAGAAAACCTAGGAATTCAATTCCAGCTAACAAAGACAGATTTATCCCTAAGTGGAACTATATAAACGACTTCAAGGAAGTCAGAAGCAACGAAAAAGAAGTTGAAACATTGAATTTTAATAAGCGACATAGAGCAAGATCAAATTCTACCTTGGAAAATAACGATAAAGTTTGGATACCCGATATGAAAATGTTCGGGAAAGTAATGGATGTTGGACCTAAACCTAGAACATAGGTACATTATCGCCGCAGTAAATAACGTCATCAGGCGAAACAGAAGCCAAGTTATAGAAGTAACCTCAGAAGCGCAAAGCCGCACCACAAAGCAGTGCGCCAGAAATTGAAGGCATCAGAGATACACCACCAGATCAAGAAGACTAGTCAAGCCGGGACGTCGTTGCACCTGCAACGGAATGTGTGGTGAAGATTAGTTAAAACAAAAGTGAGAATGAACATTGTACAGTGCATATAGTGAATAAGTGTGTAGTTTTATCCGTAACATTAATATACGCAGTGTAAATAGGAAAAACAATGGTTTAAGGCTACTCGCTTTGAATTCGACTCGAGTGCTAAGTTGAAAAGACATTCAGTTGATGAAAAGGGGGGATGTGGCATAGAGTACTTGAGCCGGCAACGCCGCTCGAGAGTCGAGATAGCAGACCTCGGCGTAGAGCCCAGCAGTTGATATCAGGTAAGAGTATCACAGGCTGCTACAGGTGTAAACCATCAGGTTGGAGGAGGTCGCATCAAAAGACACCCATCTGAAATGAAGATTGGCAGGAGACTTTGTCAAACTGTATTATTTTTGCTACTACGCTTTAATTCTCCACGCTGGCGTAAAGCGAATAGTGATCAATTTCCACAAGAGTGGAAAATATAAACAGTCAGAACTTCAGAATTGATCCCTATACTAAACCTACTTAACAGACAACAGTTAACGTATACATTAACGGATGAATTTAACATTCACATTAGGAAAAATTAAAGATGAAGAGGCATTTGACTTGACATTTTTGTTTGGAACACAAAAGTGAGACTAACCTTATGATGTTGTAAACCCAAACTGCGTATTTTGCTTGAAATATTATGTGAACGCAAAAGAAATTAAATTATATTTGTACATTATACTATATGCTTTAGAAGGCATACTTTACATACATAAGCAAGTTATCCTTTATCAGCCCATTTTCCTATTTTTATCTCACCGCCGCAAGGAAAAAAGTATATTGCTTAAAATACGAAATAAACAGCCACCGCCCTCCTCCACGAAAATTCTCCACCATTAAAACTGTTTGCTTTTTTCCTACTTATTTGTAAAAAAATTGTTACCTGGATACGTGCCTCAGGCAATCCAATTTTCTCGGCTAGCCGTTCCCTCGCGAAAACGTCTGGATAATGGGTCCTCTCGAATTCTGGAATAAGTAGAGACGAATATTATGTATATTTTAAAGATAACGATTTTCAGGTTCTGAAATGTAGGAGCAGCTTAATTTGAAATAAGATGTGAATTTTCCCAACATGTCACTTACCTTTTTCCAAACTATCAATTTGCTCGTTGGTGAATGAAGTTCGATTTCTTTGTAGTTTCCTTTTGAGCCTTAACCTAAGCTGAGAATCTTCGTCTCCTGAAGAGTTGTGTTCCGAGTTGCCATCTGAGGTGTTTTCATGGATCACATCTGAAACAACAAAAATACATTTAGCTCGATAGTTAGCCACTGAATTTTTTTAATAAAGTTAGCATAGGTATGTATAGTAGAAACGAATTTGATAGGTCCCCTTGAAAAGTAAAGACTGTTTCGATGAAATTTACCGCTAACGCAATTACCAGTTTAGATTGGACAGCATAAGTTCGTTCTTGCGGAAATTATGGTCATTTTGAATCGGCCGTCGGATCCTATAAACGAAGTAAATTATTTCGGCTCTCCCTTTTTGCGTCGGTCTGTACATTTTTTTATGGCATGCATATTTTTAAACTTTTCTCTATATTTTGAGTGTAAAATTGGATTTAATAATAACGAAATTTTGTATTGAGCAGGTACGTTGCAACGAGTATGAAATTTCAGTTCGATGTGCTGGTAATTAAAATTTTAATAAAATTTTCATGTAAAATATTTGAATTGCAAATTTGTTTGCTTATATAGGCGAAATCAATAAAATTTTATAAATTTGATCCTATCAAATAAAATACCCATGCAAAACATTTGCAATGTAGGTAGGTATCATCGCAAATCACTAATCTGAACTTGTCAGTGCCTATAATTTACTATGCCGTTTATGTAGAGTATGGATGGTAAGGGTTGGGTATCAACAGAATGCTGCAAACTGGTGAACTATACATAAAGAAAATATACATTTGACTCACTGCACTTGACTTTGGAGTGTTAATTTCAATTAGTATTTTCAGTTAGTCAAATCTTCCTAGAAAAAAAAAACTTACTGAATCTTGTTCCGAGATCAATAAATTACCTTTATTTCATTTTCAACTCGTTTACGTAATTAACCTCTAATAAGCCTTTTAAATGTGTTAGAATTTAGTGGCATGCAGACGTTTTTGATTAAAATTGAAGAAAAATTCTCTTGCCTCGACTACGATTTGAATTCAGAATCCAGGACCCTCGCATATCCAGTGCAACGCTCTACCAACTGAGACCTGTTTCATTTCTACCTTGTGTTTCATCAATTTCAAGGAACCACACAAGATAAAACTCGAAAAAGCCTGTTAAAGCCGTTTCAATTATCATCTTCACTTGAAATGATTCCGCCCTTGTTTGCATAATTCTCTCGGTTTTGTCATATTATCGTGAAAAGCGGAAATATCTTGCACTTTATAACTAACTTAATAGATAAGTTCGTTGAAATCAAAAATTGTTCGTTTTATTGAATAGCTCCATAGATTCAATCCCGTAAAACAGTTTCTTGCAAAATCAATTTAAAGGAACAAAAACGCCACCGCATTTCGTCGACAATATGACGGTTTTATTTGAAATATCGCGGAATTGGTGGAAAACAAGGCAGTAACATGTGCGTCATGTGGAGGACCGGGCAGGCGAGCAGTCAGAACCAGAGAAGTTGGCATCTCTATATATTTCCCACCCTGTTCTGCGCGTCCCTATTTACTTCCGCTTCTGTAAACTCCACCCTATTTTGTATCCACCCTCGCTATTTCATTCTCCTTGTTTTATTTCATCTTCTGATCCTTTTCCCCGGTTTTCCCTCGGCTTTCTCCCCCCACAACACGCCCTAGTCCCCCGTCAGCCAGCCGAACCGTGGGGAATGCCGCTCGTTGTTTTTATTTTCTGCCGGCTAAATTTCTATTCAGGACTTTGCATAATTTCAGGTTCTTGAAATTTTTAGCTTATATTACTTTGCAAAGAATTGTATAAAAGCTGCATCCTTTATGAATATTAGCAATTGCCTCTGCCGTTGCTGTTATTGCCGTTATGGTTGCCAAGGGAGAAATATTACAATTTTGCTTCGTCCCTTCTTTTTAACTGAATAATGTTTTATTAAGGGGCTCGTAATTTTAATTATAGCAAACTGTAAAAGGAAGGCAAATAAAATAATTAGCTGCAAAAATCAATGAAAACAGGCAAAGTCAAAAAAAACAACTAACAAGACCAATTTGCAAATAATCTAGAAGAAGTTTAGGGTAAAGACAAGCAATAATGAAAACTTGAAAACTTAAATTGACTCACCCAAACTACTTAGTGTGAAAACGAAATGAACCGTCTGCTGAACAAGTTTATTTATTATGATGTAGTAAAAACATGATAATGTCACGGATTTCGCAGATCCAATAAAACTCTCTTTACTGACAACAATTCTCTTATCTGACTGACTTACAAATTATACTCGAAAAATATACATAAACGTTGAATGGAGAAATCTCTAGAATAATCTAAATATTGTCACGGCTCTGAGGTGCCTGACAGAAATCTTGGGTTCGTTATTCCAAAATCAAAGTCCAATTAACACAACAATAATTTATTCCACGTTACTACACACTCTGACACTAATTACTTCATTAATTAACTCGAAACAACTTAACTCTTTACAACTCTTACAATCATATCACTATCTGGTGTTGCTTGCATCTGTGTTCAAAATCAACATGCCCTTCTGTTCAGGATAGGACAACACTGGGCTTGTACCTAATGCTCTTTTTGATTTTCCAAATGCGGAATCGTATTCTTGGGTCCAACTGAATGTTGAGTTTTCTTCTGTTATTCGATGCAACTCTATTGGCGAAACCTTCCACAAATATTCGATAATAAAAACATAATCCTAGAAAACTCCTCAGTTCATGTTTGTCGCGTGGTTTTAGCCAATCTCTGACAGCATCTATTTTTCCTTCCATAACTTGTATGCCATCTTCAGATACTACGTGACCTCAAAATTCGACTTTCTTTTAAAATAAAAAAACACTTATTTGAATTGAGTTTTAAGTCCGCATTCCGGAAGCGGTCAAAGACTTTTTTCAGGTTATTGAGATGTTCTTGGAAGGAATTTCCTATGATCATGACATCATCTAAATATACCAGGCAACCTCTCCATGTAAGGCCTCGCAAAAATAGATGCATCAGTCGCTCAAACGTAGCTGGAGCATTACACTGTCCGAAAGGCATCACGATAAACTGGTATAGCCCGCTTCCGGTACTGAAGGCAATTTTCTCTTTTTCGTCTTTGTGTATTGCCACTTGCCAGTATCCACTTTTGAGATCCAAGGTGGAAAACCATTTGGAGTCCGATAAAGTTGTTAATGTATCATCTACCTCGGAAGAGGGAAGCTATCCTTCTTGGTGACGTCATTAAGCTTACGGTAGTCCACACAAAATTAAGACTTCCATCTTTCTTTGTAACCAATAATACTGGCGCAGACCATGGATTATTTAACTCTTCAAAAATTCCCTCTTGAAGCATTTTACCAATTTAGTTCTCTACTTCCTGTTATTTGGGTGTGCCAACCCAGTATCTATTCTGTGCTGAATTAAGCTGATCCGTCCGGTTTGATTATCTATCACAAATACGTCTGCTTCTTTCAAGACGAAATCTGTGGCTTCTTGAAGTCTATCTGGATCGAGGTTTTTCCATGATTCCTCCAGAGTCTGCATCAAGGTGTCTGTATCCAATTTCGGTTTTACAAAATGTCGCTTATCTGGTAGGTCACAGTTCGATATTTGCTTAACTGGTTCGAGAGTTCCAATAATATCTCCTTCATTTATTTCACTGTTTCAGAAGAAACATTGGCAATTCTTATCATAATGTCTCCATTTGTTCTTACTTAAGTCTTTCCAACGAGAAATTTTTCTGGCGTATCTCCAATAAAATCATGTGTTTGTCGAACGCAGCACCCAGGTATTGTTTCCAATTTTCCGCAAATGATTTTCTCAGTACTTCCAGGAATCCTCATTGGGGTTGTGGCCAGGATCTTTACGGCTTGGGATTCTTGTGTAATTAGGACAAATTCTTCATTACCGGATTTAAGGATATTTATAGAAGGATCGAAATAGAAACCACGTTGGCCGATCAAATCCATTCCCAAAATAAAATCATCTTCTATATCGGCGACTAATGTTCTGTGCCTGAAGATGGTAGATGCAAAAGTAAGCCTTGGGTTCGTTTATTCCAAAATCAAAGTCCAAGCAACACAGCAATAATTTATTCCACGTTACTTCATACTCTGACACTAATTACTTCACTAATTAACTCGAAACAACTTAACTCTTTACAACTCATACAATCATTACTATCTAAAACGTGTCACAGCCAATCTTAAACCTGAAAACTACTAACTACTACCGGCCTTTATATATCCATAATCCATTCTTGTATAATCCACAATAAACGCGGTAATCACTTTGCCCGAATAAAGCAGTCTTTTCTGGAATTTAAGGCATGGATTCTGTACACCATGGCGAAAGCGCTTCGCGACAATATCTTTCATTTTTATACAATCTAATTCCTGTATAATCGCGCTCGGGTCGTTGACCAGATCTGACCACCTATAAGCATCCACTCTGTCAATATGCAGAACCTCTTCTACATCTAAACCTCCACTTAGATTTATCAGTTATTCCATCTATCAATCTTCATTTCCCTATCTCCCTACCATAAGCAGTACTCTGCCTTTGAGTCCTTAGATCCATGTCTGTGAAATCATGTCTTCTGGATCTATGTTATGTTATGATTGCCTTTAGAGATACTCTCCTGTCCATCAAAATCTACCATGACGTCACTGGAACTAGAAGAATGGTCACCTGTTTCTTACTTAACTGCCATGCTGCCACCGGCCTTGTCTGAGCCTGCGCTCATGGTCGTAGCAGACGTAGTGTTTATTTCTCATCGTAGAAATCTGTAGTACGTTCTGTTTGAAAGATGGCATTGACCTTCTGGCTCAGCAGTCGTATCCTATCAATCTACTTGTCCCTGGTTTCCTTCGCTCGCGGGATTTGCCAGTTTAAGGTTCAAAAATTGTTTCGAGTTTACTATCTTCTAATTGGTCACCTCTAAGCTAAGCGAAGGTTTCTAACTGAAACTCTCTAAAATTCTAAAGCAGTGCTTGCTTTCAACTAGACATAGTTGTCTGGATAAAGACGATAAGGTATCTGCGTTTTTACACAGTTTACCAGAACCATGTTTTATTTAAAAATCGAACTCTTCCCGAAAGTTGAGAATCATCAGAAGAAGAGCGAGATCTCCAACCAAAATCTTCTGTCACGTTTAAAATGTCCACTTCTCCTTGGTGGTGTGTTGAAAAATCACATGATGTTTTTATATGACTACTGGCACGCGTATACAGGAAAACTCATGTGCATAGTTTTGTTCCAGTCCTTAATTTCTCCTTATTGGTTCTATTTCTTGTCGTATTGACACAGCCTTGGGTGTGAAAATAACTTACACGCTGCTTCGATTTCAAGGGCTTCCATTGGAGCTTCGCTGCTAGATGATGGTTTGGCTATGATCAAGATTCTCTGTATATTGTCACAACCGCCTGTTTTACAACTACAGAATATACCCAGAGTGGCTTTCCCAACTCGAGGCTGGAGGTCAGGCACTGGGGAGACTTGAGTCCAGAGGGGCGTTCTCAGGGTGGCGGTACTAACAGTGGTTCAAGTCTGCCTTTGATGAGGCTCGCATGGCAATTTTAATCCGTTTCTTGTCATATAATAATTAAATGCGTAAAGTCCAACAAATACCATTTTAAAGTCACGTGATTTTTCTCCATCCTTGTTGAATACATCTCAAACAGCGGTGATAGTAAAATTGACAAAAAAATTGGTGCCTAATTATTGTTCATAATATTCTTACCTGAAATAGAATCCGTCACTGTCATCAATTAGTTTGTCAAAGTTATTTTCGAAAATGATACAACGAACAAACATAGCTAATAATTTTGACCATATTGACCTTTTTCCAACTCAAAAAGAAGCAAATAAAAAACGGGTACCCAATTCAAGTTCAGAATGTATTACAACGGACAGCAGATGCGACAAAAGTGAGTCTCGCAACAATTGCAAGTATTAAAATTCCCATCTGATTGGTCAATACTATTTCAGAAACGCGTTTGTAAAATGCTAGTGGGAACATATCTTAAAATTCAATAGTAATTAACCACCAGTAGCTTTTTGTAGGTGATATCAACGACATAATCAATGAACATACGTTTTTTGCCACCAATATCACGTGACTTTAAAATGGTGTGCGTGTAGGTATTTTGCGACAATTTTCTAATGATGTCATTGTGGTATATTTTCTCTATTAGAAAAAAAATCATTGGTAAATAGTGAATTTTGCATCATATTATGTAATATGCATTCTCACGTATCTCAATCGGGAACTCCTAATTAATTTAAAGAAGTTGAGAAGTGATGAGTCTTTATGAAAATATTCGCTACTCGACTGTTCCGACTTATTGAATTAGATTCGGCTATATTTCGCTACTTGCTCCTCAATTTTTCTTTTGACAACTCTATACGTTAAATACACATTTGTAGCAAATGTTTGGCGACTTCGTGAATCTATCAGTTAATCTAGGCTAGACCAGCATTATAAAATTCCTCACCCGCATCGATGTATAAAATAATTAGTTCTTTCTTAAACGGAATGAATTGTCAACTGCAATTTTACTAAACACAAATATTCAATAAATATTCATTAAAATATGTAATTTAAACTAGTCCCACCTTCCTACATCACCATGATTAATTGGAGAGTTTTGCTGAAATAATCAATTTTTCAACAAATCGCTATGAAAATACAATCAAAACATTCAGTTAAAATTGCATTAGTCAGATAAAAAAGCTTTCAATAGTTCAAACAATTTCAAATTAACTTTTAAGCAAATAGTTTCGATCTCATTCATATGTAATTCCGGAGCTGCAAACAAAAAGGGTTACATTTTGTTTAGCACAGTTAGTAAAGTTTCCAGTATGAAAACCAACAATTGCGTCATTGCGATCTCATTAATACATTAAATTACTATCAAAAGCATCGTATTAATGTATGTTTCAATTCAGAAATTTAAAATTAACGATTAACTGACGATGTTGCTAATTAGTTTATTTCATTTGGTTGAATGCTTATACAGGGTGGCTAATGAATAACGAAATAAACCAAGGGTCAGTTTTTAATTTTTGGAAAGGGAGATTGATGATGACTAGAAAAAATAATTCTTATGTTAGTTAAAGTACTGATTGAGTGGTACCTTACTCTACATTGATCTTGTTAGATTTGTCAAGGAAAAAATTAAACATTAGGTCCAATTTTCATGTTGAGGTAACAGAATGGCAAATAATAATATGGTCAGTACTAGTTTTTTTTAGCTATTTTGGGAGTCTGCAAAGTCAGCAAAGCATTTTATTTGAAATAAAAATGACACGGTCTTATTGTGGAAATGTGTGGAAGAATGCATGTTTATACTCTATCAATTTAAATAAAATTTATTTAATTTTCAAAAACTAATAATAACAAGAGATGGAGACAACTTTGTTACTCTTCATATTTCAATAATCGTAAAAAAGGATTTATTTTTCACCCAATATTGACTCAAATTTAATTAACTATAAAAGGAGTTTAATAATGTTCTCATGGATTTTTCTCCAGCGTATTTTCAAATAATATTTTCCCATTTTCCTTAGGGCTTTATGAGATAAAAAGTAAAAAAACCAATTAATTTAAAAACTTGTTTTCCTCTCTCAAAATTAAATTAAATATTACTTTTTCCACGTATTAAACTCCAGATTCTCGTTAATCTACCATTTCTAAAAGATTTACTCGTACTTCTTACCTCTTTTCTGGATATCGTCCCTGGTAATTTGCGTGGCGAGCGTGGGAGCTGGATGCAATCCAAGATGTGGCGCGGTCGGAGTTCCTGGATACCAGGCCCAGCCGGGCGCCTGGCCGTTAAACATCCGCAGTTTGTCGTAAACCGATTCGTTTTGGGCCGACGCTTGTTGTTCTTTTTGGCTCGCCAAGTTCCGGAGAACGCGATTTATGGACGAGACCTGCAAAGAATTGGAAAATTTAATTTGGGAGAAACAACCGATGGCTTATGAAAAAACTTCTCCTACGAGATAATTAGATACTTATTTGGAATTTGGGATATTTTATTCTTGGGATTATGGTTTATTTAAAATACATTATTTTGTGGTTTTATATAGATAGGAATCTTTCCAGAATTCCGAAATTTTCAGGAACAATAATTGATAAGTACAACCTCCGTTACTGCGATAACACGATATTTTCCCGGGGCTTTTCTGCTTTTAGTTTGCTCTAGTTCTTTTGTTTTCGTTATTTTTGGGATTTCGGCTGATCCTACATTTATGGTTTAAGGTTTATCCAATATTTGTTCCAGTGTTTTCAATGTGTATAAATCCTTACAAAAACTTTGGATTAACTGTGGTATATCCTTCTCGTTTGTCGGGAATTATTGCCCCATCTCTGTTTTTGATTTCGAACAGCCTTTTTTTAAAATGTTTTTGTTGTGCTGTGGTACTTTTGATATCTTCTGCTGTTCTGTGGTACTTTTGATATCTTCTGTTAATTACGCTTTTGTTACCAATATTAATTATTATCATATTGTATTTGTCATTGTTATTAGTTTCTCATCATTGTGAATGTCGTGTATAATTCTTGTTTATTAAAGCCCTAAATAATTCGACGCTGATCAAAACTCTCCAAAAGCTTCACAAGAGTGGACTCACTGGAAAGCAACTTTCAACAATTTCATATCATCCGTTGATAAGCTCGAAAATGATGGAAAACTGAAACTCTTGATGAACTGTAAGCCACAACAATTATGAGCACATATCCTGCTGTTCTTCTTACTCACCAGCTATTAGAATTTTGCATTCAATTTTCATTAAACCTAAAAATGAAATATTGGCCAGACACTGTCTTACCTCTAGGAAGCAGCAACCTGGAGAGACTGTTGATCAGTACCTACAAGCACTAAAACATCAAAGCTGTCAGTGCTGAAGAAAGTCAAAACGACTATATCAGAGATTCTTTCATTAGCGGCTTGAGCTCTTCCCAAATTCGACAACCATTGTTGGAGAATACTACTTTGAAACTTGATGAAGTCAAGGATTAAGCTCTATCTCTAGAATCGGCACAAAAACATTCAGAAGCATATAGCATCCGTCAAGGTGTGATTAACTCAATTCAATCTGAAAGTAGAAGAACACCTCATTTCCGCTGCTACGAAAGTGTACAAACGTTATTTCTGTGGAAGTAATAGAAGACATTTTCGCACGTTATGCCCTGCTTAAGATTCAACGTGTACTGAATGCGGTAAACGTGGACATAACACCAAGAAATGTCTAAGCAAAAGAAAAGTCAAAGTTTCTGCCTCAATAATACCTGTCTCTGGGCTTTTTTGCGCGGCACCTGGAAGTTTTACCAAATGCCTTATCAAAATTAAATTAAACAATGTCGTTGCTCATGCTTTAGTAGATACAGAGAGTTCTGAAACATATATTAATAAAACTTTTGCCTTATTTATCGATGTACCTATACATTCAAGCACTGGATATATACTAATGATCACAACAGCCTTATAGTCTAAAATATCAGGTCATTGCTCTGTAGACTAAGAAATGAGGGGGCATACATACAGAAAATTACGTTAATCAGTTCTTACTGATTTAAGTGCTGATGTGGTAATGATATTCTTAGACAGCATTTAACCCTTGGAGTATCTTTTGGAGGTTCTAAGCCTCCCTTGTATATTGACAACTCATCATCGATTTGTAGTATGGCGTTCCTGAAAATTGATCCGCCTACATTATTTCCAAATCTATCAGCAGACTGCAGGCCAATTGCAACAAAGTCTAGGCAATTTTCGTCAGAAGATAGACACTTTATTTCTATTGAAATAAGAAACCTTCTTTTAAATAAAATCATCGAAGAAAGCAACTCTCCTTGGCAGGCACAGGTGTTGGTAACGAAAAATGGAACGCACAAGAAGGATAGTGATCGATTACTCTCAAACCATTAACAGGTTTACATACATTTTCATACTTAGATGCTTATCATCTGCCCAAAACTACCTGTAACTGAAGACTCTGTCTCTGAAAAGAGCTCTTGGGATGTTCGCCCATTACTCAAAATGGATACCTTGCTTTTCAGAGAAAATTTAGCGACTTGTTTCTTGTAAATCTTTTCCGTTGTCAGAAATCTCTGTAAACGATTACGAGAAGCTCAAATTGGATATTGCAAAATCAGCTGTTATTTCAATCGAAGATAACATTCCATTTGTGGTTTAGACTGATGCTTTAGAACATTCAATTGCTGCCATTTTGAGTCAGGCAAGGAGGCCAGTTGCATTTTTCTCGAGAATACTAAGTAAGTGTGAACAAAATCATTCATCAGTTGAAAAAGAAGCTTATTCCATAGCCGAAGCGATGAAAAAATAGAGACATTTTCTGATTGGTCGTCATTTTCAGCTGATTACTGAACAAAAATCTGTATCTTTTATGTTTGATACCAAACACAGAAGCAAAATAAAAAATGAGAAGATTTTAAGATGGCGACTTGAACTATCATGTAATCATGTTACAGCTATGATATGGTATATACATCAGGACGAGAAAACGTAGTAGCTGATAGATTTTCTCGAATATGTGGTTCAAATAATCAGAAAACTTTATCGATTTATATCAAGCTTTCTGTCATCCTGAAATCACTATAGAATGGTCCACTGGGTCAGATCTCGCAATATGCCCTACTCTGTAGAAGATATTCGTATTATTTCAGCGTCTTGCCGAGTCTGTGCCTCAAATCTAAATTCATTAAAAATAAAGGAACACCCATTAAAGCAACTTCGGTTTTCGAGAGAATATCTTTGGACTTCAAAGGCACTCTTCCATCTGATTCAAAGAACTCACTATCATCGACGAGTATTCTCGTTTTCCATTTGCCTATCCATGCCAAGACATGACTTCTGAGACGGTGATTCGGTGTCAAAGCAACTTATTTTCCATTTTTGGAATGCCTGGATATATTCACACAGATCAAGGATCTTCATTTATGTCAAATGATTTTAAAAATTATCTTCATTCAAAACGAATACCTAGATACAAACGGGCAGGTCGGAGTGAAAATACACATAACCTGACGCACTGTTGTTTATTCAAAACAAGTTTCGTTTGTCTGTCTGCTATCCCGTTCCTGTTCCTACTACCAGGAGGCAAATCTGTCTAGGTCATCCTGAAGGTACAAATAATCTGCAAAAGTATTGATCACGCTAAACATTATCATATCGAGCGATAGGCAAGAATTAACTTGATCGGACAAAAGCCGAAATATCACTAATTAACAAATTAAAGAACAAGGGACTCATATGAGAAACCTGGAAAACCCCCTATGGAGCCGTAATCTCAAAAGGCTTTAAATTATTCACACGGACCACCTGGCGACGAATTCTCAACTAGATCTCAAATCAGCGCAATAGATAGCAAAGGCACGCAGCTTACTCAATAATATATGATGATCCACCCTGTCAAAGGACTTGGAAACGATGGAGTAGAAGAAGTGGAGTGGACTTCAGATCCGCCATAAATGGACGAAACAAGGTTCATTTCAGTTTAACGAACTGCAAAGAAATCAAACTGCTCATCCACGATGAAAGACTACAGCATAGTTGTAAGAAAAACGATGATCAGCCTTTCGAAGACCTTATACTGATATAGAGGCCAATAGTTTTGAACTCCTGCTTAAGAGACTCCTTATTAGTTAAGATAAAGCGGTCTAGCTAAACCGAAGGCGCAACTTCAAAGCAGAATCGGATGGATGTTATCTGGATCAGGACTCCTGTTAGGGGCTGAGGCTTTCCAGTTTTGAATAGATATCAAGTGCGTTTAAGTTACTGGTTGACACTCTAGAATAGACGTCACTGAAGTAATCTGGAAACAGCTCAGCAGCCTCTGGCTCCATGAAAGCCCTTGCTTCCTCCAAAAATAGTTCGGAATATAAATCATTAGATTGACGCTTGCTATTCACAAAGTCTCGAGATCCTTTCAAGTTCTGATGGAGATTCTCTGCAGCGTATGTAGGATGTTAGTGATAGCCTACTTTACTCTGTTTTTTATTCCCAGGGTACCAACACATAAATGTATCAGAAGGCATTCAATATAGTTAGTTCACTGGCGTGCTATATAATACAAAAAACTAACGAAATATTGATAAGACTACAAGCAGATTATAATTGGTAAAATATTTTACTTGCGCTTATGGGTATAACCTATAATTTACAAAAATACGCCTCACGAAACCCGAAAACCCATTGATTGGCGAGGAGATTTTTCGAGTGGATGGCTGATAAAAGTAGGTCAAGCCTTTCGGGTGGGTTTTCTTGAAGAAGTTTGTAAAAGTTCTGTATGTGTGTACGAATGAGGCTAATGAGAGTGTTGGATCACTCTGTTATCTTATCTGTAAGGAATTAAAGGAATTAAAATTTGGTGGGGGGTTTGATTTATAATACCCAGTCATTGAAAAATAAACTATAAATATAGTAAGTCCGTAAATTGGAAAATATCTCATATAGCCATTTTGAGGTCCAACTTTTCATGTAACTTTTTCTTCTGAATAGTTAACTGTATGAATTCGTGAGAAAACCTCCTTGTCCCCCTCATCTCAGATATTTTTTTATTGGATACAAAATACTTTATGTCACTACGTAAATCATTAAAGAACAAACTAAGCATTTCTTCGACATTTGCATAGCAGCAGAAATACATGTTTCATGGTATAGATTACTACAGAAAATCATTTAATAACTGGAAGTAGAAACGCAACCGTAGAAATCCCGACACTGCGTCGCCAAAATGAAACCTCCATTTTACCCAACACGTATTTTTCCAGAAAAAGTTGAACATGCCCCCAAACCGAACAACGTTGCCACTTACGTTTGGCTTATTTGGTAAATTAGATGAAGCGTCTACAATCTGACTCTGTATCATAGAATATGAGCCACTACCTATCAAAATAAATAATATTAATTTAA